GAAGAGAGGAAGTGGAGACCTAGACATTCTGTTGAGATATTAGTGTCATCATATCTGAGTTGGAAAGGACTTAAGACAGCATGGAGTCATAACTTTTTATGGGTGAGAATCCATGATAGGGTAACTTGGTCAAGAACATGGGTCTTCTGCCATCGTGTCCACATGGGTGAAGAGGCAACTGGGTGGGGGATGGCAGAGATCCTTCTTGCTTGAGTTCCAGGGTCTTGCTAGTTTTCATTGCTCAGCTGCCTTTAGTTTATGTAAATGTGGCCTCTCATGGGAAGGTCACTCTGTCCTCATAGGTTGAGTTTCTAATCAGCATAAAGATCTGGATCCACTCATATTTCCCAGAGTTTTTCTTCCTGACCTGCTGACACTTTATACATAAGAGCTAAGAAACTGCTTGATATAAAATCCTTACTGTTATCATTTGCCCTCAAGTTCCATAGGTATGGGTTGCAGTCTCAGGCTGCCTAAGGCTAGATCTGAACAAAGACAGGGTGATAGGCTGTGCTGCTGGACCCTCCCCAGTGGAATGGGATTCCCATCTTAGTTTTTAGAATCAGGCAGACCTGAGTTCAAATCCTGACTTTACCAGTTACTAGCTTTGTGACCTTGGGGAAGAAACTACATTTTTGGGTCCAATTTTCTTTATCTGTAATTAAGTTCAGTATTTATTTTAGGGTTTTTGTTTTAGAATTGAATGAGCTAATTCCCTCATTCCTAAATACTGATCGCGTGGTTCCATGCTGGTGCCTTGGTAGTTGTTTCCTAAGGGACTCGGCAGTGAGAATGGGGGTGGGGTCACCTGGATAATAGAGCTTATATTCCAGGATATGCTTGTAAAAGACTGGATGTGCGGTGGATTTTTAGTAAATATCCATTCCTTTCCTAATCCCCATTGATTGTGTATATATCTTTATACTAATATATGAACAGTTAATTGCAATTTAAATCTCTTTGTAGTATTTAAAATATGTAGCTATAACCAAAATACGTGAAATAAAATGATTTGACTTTGTTTTCCTTTCAATAAGCAAAACAAAATAAAATAGAAAAGAAAAAAAGTTTTGAAGAAGTAGAAATAATTTTATTTCCATGGAATCAAGTCCCTATGTTAGAATTTTTGGTAGTGTTGTTAAACAGCATATAAAATTGTGACTTCAGTGTTGATAGTTAGGTGAGTATAGTTTCATTTTGTGGTTGTCTTAGAAGAATTATTTGCACTAGATCATAAGTGATGTGCATGTTACATATTGGAAACGAGGAAACAGTGGAGACATACTACCTCCAATGCAATCATTGTGTTACCGAGTCCAAACT